TAGGATGGCTTGAGGGTGAATAAATCATGGAGTAATTTTCATTTTTGGGTAAACTATCCCTTTAAGTAAGATTTAAGTGACAAATGCCTAATGGTGTTACTTTATGTAAGTATGCTTATAGTTTTTATTTTGATTGTTCATGTTGGGTATGTGTTTTTAGAATATCAGTAATCTGGAGGGAGACATGATTGTTTTCCCATGTAAAAAGGATCTAATGTGCTACAAGATCCTGGTCACCTCTGGCAGGTGAAGGGCATTATCTTATCTAAACACAGTGAACTCTCTCTCACTGTCTCTCTTTATCAGACACATAACACATGATTTATAGCAGTCTGTAAATACTGTGTGCATGCAGGCGGGTCACTGGTGGTTTTCCTGTGGATCATTTTTCTCACATCTTTGCGGATGAGGCAGGACATGCTATTGAGTCAGAGACCATCATCAGCGTGGCAGGTGTGTTTATCTTATATCAACTGTACTGTAGTAAAAGTACTAAAGTATGATAGAAGTGAGATCCATAGACGGTATTATTGCATTGTCTCATTGTGTGCATGTATTTTTGTTTTAAAAAATATAATATGTTCCTTAAAAAAGTATTGTTATTGTTCACAATTTAAGCTTTAACTATTGCTGACACATGACTGTTGTCCAATAAAAATTGAGACATTTGAAGCAATTTGAAGCACCAGAAGCAAAATGATGTGGATGTTTTATTGTAATGTACTCTGGAATTGCGTGTTTTTCCTGTAGATGTCTCTTTGCTGGAGAGGCTGATGACACAGAATGATCTTTGTAAGAAAGATGACATGGAGTTTGACAAATGTTACGTCACCAAACTTGAAGCTACAAGAAGCTGCTCCTGACACCGGCCAAGAGGGGAATCTCTAGAATCTCCCGCAGAGATATTGGCATCAGTCAGTACGTTTACATGGACAATACTCCGATTTTAATACGATTAAGACAATACTCTGATTAAGAATCTACCATGTAAACAGAGATTTTTGATTACCTTAATCCGGCTAAAGTCATAATCGAAGTAAACACTAATCGAATGAAGCCATGTGGAGTATTCCTATTTTAGTCGCATTATTGAAGTGCAGTAAAGACATGTACACACCTTAATCACATTATTACCGTCGTGTAGGACTTTCCGCCGCATTTTGCGACAGGATACACACTCGGCAGTGCTCAACTGTTTGACGGTAAATAAAAGAGCTTCAACACCGCCATTGTCTGAATGCACGTACAAATAATTAACTGCACTTGAAGCCTTCATAAAATTAAAAATGAAACGCCCAAAACCAGTGGTGGAAAGAGTACTGAAACTCTTTGACAGCCCATAATAGTAGTTAAAATAGTCGTGACACTTCTATCAAATCTCTGACGGTCTGTATCATCACTTTGCTTTTTGTGGGGTTTGATTTTGTAGGTTGAGAAGATCAGAAGGGCCATCAAATCAGACGAAGACCTCGAAAAAGTACATGTGCATTGACGATCTCAAAGTTAGTTGGGGTTTAAGCCTTCTAAACACACTGGTAGTGCTTTTTATCTTAAAATAGGATGTGTGAAAATAATATAATAGCTGTCTTCCTTTGTGTGCTTGGTGAATTATGTAGGTTGGTTCCGTGGAGGAGTTTCAAGGCCAAGAGAGGAAAGTGATCCTGGTGTCGGCTGTTCGCAGCAGCAAAGAGCATATAGATGAAACGTTTAATATTGGGTTTCTTGAGAATGAGAAGGTATTGTTTAAGCACTTTAAATTGATCAAAATTGACAATAAAGACACATTTTCTGTTTCATATAAATGATGTTCTTTTAAACTTTCTATACATCAAAAAATCCTGAGAAAAGTATCACTATTTTCTACAGAATTATTAATCAGCAAAACTGTTTTCTACATTGTTAATAATGAGAAATATTTCTTAAGCAGTAAATCAGCATATTATAATGATTTCTAAAGGATCATGTGACACTAAGACTGGAGTAATGACTGCTGAAAATTCAGCTTTGCATCACAGGACTAAATTATGTTTAGAATAGGAAACAGTTTAACATTTTAAATGGCACAAATATTTCATAATATTCCTGTTTTTACATAAGAGACTTGCCAAACCCAAACTTTTGAACAGTAAACACACTTTAGTCTTGAACTTGTCCTTGTTCATGTCTCTTTTCTTCAGAGATTCAATGTGGCGGTGACAAGAGCAAAAGCTTTGTTCACCATGATGGGAAACCCCACCATTCAGCTGGGGCCGGTATATACTGTACACTTCCTACTTACACATGGATGAAATGTAAAGAAAACTGTTCCTCTAAATGATGTGCATCTCTTGTGTATGTTTATAGGTTTATTGACTTCTGGTTTGAGCAGGGCGGTTACAACCGTCTGCTTGCTCTTAACATCCAGCATGAGAGAAGTGAGACAGGTTTTTAATCATACACTTAATCTCTAAGTCACATCACATTGTTCGACGTCAACCATAAACCTGTTTTTCATTCCACAATTTAATTGGTTTCTGTAGATTTCAGAAATGGGATGAAAAATGAAACTGGTTTTAGTTTAATGCCTTCAAAATACTTGCGAAGTCCTCATTTAGGAAAGGGAAATACATGAAGTAGTCATGTGTGTCTGTTGATGTTCTGCCAAAAACAATCGTGTCAGATTTCAATCTTTAGCAGTTTTGCAAATTATATGTTGTGTTCATCCGCATTGCAAGCAGGATGTCGTTGTGTTCTTTCACTTCTAGTGGAAACTGAGGAGAGTGCAGTCCAACAATATGTGAATCCTGAGTGGAGACACGATTACTAGCAGAGAAGAGAACTCAAGCCTTCAGAAACTAGTATGGAAATCCTGGATCTGTCGATTCTAAAGCCGGGCACACACTGTACGATTTGTATGGTCCTTTACATTTGTTGCTTGTCAGACTGTAAGAAATGATCCTAATGGGATCTTGGAGGGAAAAAAAGCCATGGCACACTGTGCAACGTAAGTTAGATTGCATGATAAACATTGTAGTCAAGACTTTGTAGTGTGAACCTGGCTTAAATATTAATAAACATAAAGCTTGCATGTAATTGAATTTGATCAGATAACAGAAAATACTTTAATTTATCTTAAAAATAGGAGCACACTGATTTTTGAGAAAAAAGTACATTTCTTATTCCTACCTTAAATTGTTCATTATTCAACCACCGACACATTCATATATTTTCAAATTATTTAAAAAAAAACCTCTCCTTTAGTGTGGTTTTACAGTTTATGTCTCTCTCTTGTGGCTGTTGGGAGTACTGCTATACCCAGCTGAGATACTCTGGGTCCCAGTGATGTTTGAGCCATTTTCCTTATGTACTGTTAGACACCAAATGCCTACAGACCTGCAATCCTATCTTCATCACCTCTGGGTGATTTTTTTTCTATAGCATTTTATAGAGCCTATGACTGTTATAGAGCCCGCGACACCAGCACAGCTGATCTTGTGGTATCTATCAAGTCAAAAGGGATATTTTCTTAGTTAAATAAATAACACCAATAATAGGGACAGTCCTACTGGGGATTTTTTTTCCAAGGACAGAAAAATACCTCTTTGCTTTCCTTTTAAAGGTGCAGTCACATTATTAACATTGTTGCGAAATTTCACAGGCAAAAAAAAACATTGTCTATGATCAATAGTGTAGCAATGTATGAAGTACATTGTATGTTACTTTCATACCAAGCAGCTTTCTATTTTTGTTCGAATTTGAGCAGTCAACCTGAAACTATTGCAAAATATGTTTGGGGAAATATTTTCGCTCAATCAAAATTCCAGATGCGAATTCCTAGTGAAATTATTGGATTTTGCCAACGAATAAAAAAATAAATAAATCACTGAACAACAGTAAATGTGACCGCACCTTTATTCATTCCAAAACCTTCACTGGTGACACTTGTTCAATAAAGACAGGTTAAACCTACTACCATTCTGAGAAAATTAACATTCTTTTTTTCTTTAATTTCCATGTGAGAAGGATCTAGAGATCCGCTTGAACTCACAGAAAAATGGAAGGATAGACACTTAATACTTCTTAGCAGACATCACCTGGAGTTGATGAATTGCCCTTGAGTGTATGACACTTCTGATATTGTAACACACTGTATGTACCACAGGCGAAGCCAAAAAAGATGAATCTTTCCTCCTTTTTCTCACAAACATTATGCTGAACAGACCTGGCCAGACCAACAGCCTGAGTGAGTTAATTCAGTTTCAGCCTGTTAAACCATTTTTCAGATAGCCTTTTCTAAACGATCAACACAAATGTTTATGCCAGTCAACCCCATTGATCAGACGGTACTTGTACTTCATGTGAAATAAATATGGCTTCTATCCTGACTAAGGCCATTGGACAAATTTAAACAAGTTTGGCTGTTCCAAGATCAGCCGTCAAACCGCCCCCCCCCCAAAAAAAAAAACAGACACACAGAGTACAGGCTGGCAGGTTAAATGAATGATAAATGTATTTTTGCTTCTTTTTTTTTTTACATAAATCACTGAGCATCATATACAGAGGCATAGAATAACTGTAAACCAGAACCGAAAAAGACAAAGAAGATTTATGTACAAATACAAAATTAATCAGTCAGTCTTTCTCCCAGAAAAGGAAGGAAGGTATGCTGGTGAAAGGAAAAGAAAAAAGAAAGATGGCAGGATGGAGAGGTATTGGGTACCGACACACACTTTGATTCCCTTATAAATATTTTTCTGTCATCCACACCTGGATTGTGAGAAATGTGGCGCGTGGTGGGTACTGCAGGCTTTTCCTGGCGTCAGTTTGACAGCACTAATATATATATATTTTTTTTTTTCCCCAGAATTCTTAATTCTTTCAAAAAACTGCATTTTGAAATAAAATATTTTGTAACATTAAAATAAATATAATGCCTCGTTGTTGAATAAAAATGTTAATTTCGTTCAAAAAAAAAAAAATAAATGAAAAAAATGTAAACATAAAAATCTTACTGACGCTAAACTTTTGAATGATGTGTATGTGTGTAGTTAAGTACCTAAACTATCTGGACTATCTATAGAGAAGCACATCAGAATAACATCCGTGTCTGGATACGACAATGGCCTCAACCGATCATAGTCTTCCTGACCAGCTGTATCCCATAGAGCCAACTCCACCTGAGAGACAGAGAGAGAGAGATGCAGATACTTCAGTATTGTTGGTCAGCTGAAGGTATGAACTGAACTTTGAGTGGCCTGAATGTCAATGTCAGAGGCCATAAATATAAAAAGCATTTAGAAACCTGAGGCTATTTAAAGAAATAACTGCAGACCACACTTGACTTCTCTCATAATATGTCCAAGCAAAATATGTAGTAACACCCTATTTCCCTCTCTCAAGCAAACATACACATTCTCAGCGCTTCTGTCCACAAAATGAGGAAGAAGGACTGTGTACAAGACCATTTCAGGATAACTGACCTGTTTGCCATCCACCTCTATGTCAGCGATGTAGTTTTCAAACACTGTGGGCACGTAGACCTCGGGGAACTGATCTTTACTGAACACAATCAGCAAGCAGGTTTTCCCACAGGCTCCATCTCCCACAATCACCAGCTTCTTACGGATAGCTGCCATCACTACACAGAAAGCAAGAGAGGAAGAGATTTTACCATTAGAAATGGTTAAAATGAAAAAAAAAAAAAATTTTATATTGTATTTAATGACAATAATGACTGGCTGTATATTATGTCACTTATTATATAGGCTATTTAACAAATAAACAATAAAATAAATTGTTCATTAGTTTAAATTGTAAATATTAGTTTACATGAATGAATAGAATTGTATACATTAGCTTAAACTGTATACATTACCTTAAATAAATAAATAATTAGTATATTAGCTAAGAAAGATAATCCGGTACAAAAACTGTAGCAAAAAAAGTTGCCATGATGGTCATGAAATATCCAGTTTAGCAGTGATTCTACAAACATTTAACAAATCAAACTAATTGGTCCAGAGAGCCACAAAATACATCCTAATAAGTGCCATAACAGTTGGTTTCACATGAATGAAGTGAACCCCTGTGGCTTGAGAGACACAACACAGAGTGTAGCAGAAACTGTTCCAAGATCAATCCTGCATTTATGCAGAATCAGGAGGCCAAAATGCTGATCAAGGACCTAACTGACCCACAAAATGAACATGAAATGAGCACATTTTGTTCTAGGCCTTATTTGGGAGCGGTTTTTGCATCCACACAGACAGAAACAAAGCCAGAGCGTGAAAAGTATGGAAAATTCAGTACGAGAAAGAGGGAGACTTTCCTGCCCCACCCTTTTCCTCCCTTTCCCGCAATTTGGAGAAAAAATAAGGACACGATGGCCCAAAAACGTCACAGCCAAAGAACATACACACACAGCCACACATTTTTCTTTAAATAGTGCCAATCCAGCCAGCTGTCCGCATTTAAGCAGGACATACACGTATAGAACAGCAGTGCTGCCATACAGTAGCCCAATGAACGGGACTACATGATTTTGGCTTCTACGTGTGACAGCAGACTGAGAGAAATTCAGAACATGTCAGACATAGGTATATAGAAATCTATAAACACATTTAAAACAAAAGTTGACATTTACCACCACAATACACCAGTCCAACAGCAAGCACAAAAAACTATTTGTTTGGCCTTGAATCACAGTAATACTACAGTTGTGTTATACAACAGTTTGGTAATACCATGTTTTTTTTTTGACATTG